AAAAGATCAGGTCACGTAATCAAGTACAGGCCCTCAAACAAACAAACCTCTCAGGCAAAAAACCCTGGAAAAACGGAGAATAAATCCACTCAGCGTATGTTCTCGTTTTGCTTTGTGCTTACAGATATCTCGTCGCAACAAGTCTCTCTCTATCTCTCTCACGGACTAAAACCCCATGCGAAATAATTCATTGAGTGAGGCCCCAATTCTCGAACAGTTAAGCCGGTTTAGGTGTATTCACAGAGGTCAAAGTGCAAATACACGTTAACAAAACGTATCACATGATTATTTCATTCAAAATAAATTGACGACAGGGAATTTATCAACGAGAAATACCAAAGAATAGTTACGTTCTCAACGTGTTTTCTGATTTCTGTTACAGAGACTAGCTGATGCACTCGTGTATATGAAAAATATTAATATCGATTAAGCATATATTTTGAGGATTTATTAATAATTTGTCCAATAACGCAGGTGAATCGCATTAAAACGCGTCTTGTACGTACGTTTTTTTTTTCATCGTGAATTTTACATTATTTTCATGATTAATCTGTAATTTTTTCATTGTTTTATTTATCCCACTGAATCGGGTGTGACTTGACTGTTTTAATTTCTTTAAACTTACAGTGATACAACGGATGAGATCCGGCTCTGGGAGCTGCTGCACGGCACCGATAACTGTCTCATTTCAACCCCCCCTTAAGTCCTCGTCTATTAAAATGAAAGAAATTTTAACGATTAGAGATTCATTTGAGTTGCTTCGTCAAGAGTTATTTGATTTCTCTGTTTCTCTCTTCAATCAAGAATTTACATCTGCATCTGTTAGAGATTATTCATTGACAATTTGTGGTATTCTTCTTTGACTGTGTAAAGATGATATTGATTTTTATCCCGTCAACCCCCCCTTGCAATTCTTCTCTGAATGACAATATGAGACAATTCGTCCAGCATGTCTTCACCATCACGAGAGATCATTAGATTTAATTCAATTGAGAGTAATTTTGAGATGCTTTTGAAGGTGGTTTGCGTGATGGTGGAGATATTTAACGGTTTATTTGTGATGATTGATTATTAATTTGATATTTCTTCGCAGGAAATGCTGGGGAATTCCTGCCTGGCCCTATTTATGATCTCAATCAGACTGGGCAAGTTGTTGCTGGTGAGTGTTTTTTGTTGGAATTATTATTTCAGTTTTATTTTCTACCCTTATGACCCTTATATTCAGACGTCCATAGTTTGATTTTTATTTTGTCACTTTTTTTCCGAATGGAAAAATTCAGTATCGAAGTGGTAAACCGGTATAAGTCGATTTTGACTATTGGTTTCAATAAATATCTCGAAATCTAAGGGAAATAGCGACATTTTTGTGATTTCCTTTTTTGTAGCTCTCAATTTACTCTACAAAAAAGGTTATGACAAAAATTTCGCTATTTCCCTTAGATTTTGAGATATTCATAGAAAACTGGGCAATAGTCAAAATCCACTTATACCGGTCACTTCACTACTGAATTGTTTTCGTCAAATCCGAAATTTGCAATTTTTTGGGTCAGAATAACTAATTTTGGCCTCAGGAGTTTGAATGTGCTATTTTAAGACCATGACCGGATGGATGTATATATGTGTATGCATGTGTGTCCATTTTGTAAAAATTTATTTTGAAACCAATATTCAGGGAAAAGTAACAAAGGCTAATGTTTGGGGCAATGTTGGCTGCCAACGTTCGGCCAATGTTGGAGTAATATTGAATTCGATTAAAAATAGGCCGTGACTATTCGCACTATTGCGTGAATCACTCCCGTACACTCCATACACTCCACGCATGCGTGAAGTTTGTGTGTTTCACGCAGCCGAATTTTCATACTGCTGTGTATTTCACGCAGTTGAAGTTTCATACTACTGTGTGTTTCACGCAGTTGAA